CACACACACACACACACACACACACACACACACACACACACACACAGGGACACATTCCAAGTCGTAGGCAAAACATGAGCCAAAAGTGACAACTATTTCATACTCCTCAGACTGACCGCTGACCCAGCGCTGAAGGTCCTGGAGGTTGGAGATCGAATCCTTGAGGTGAACGGCTCCTCCATCAGAGACAAAACCCTGGAGGAGGTAAGCCTGGCTGTGCATGATGGTGTTCTTCCTTGTCTCTTGTCCTTGTTTCTTGTCCTTGTTTCTTGTCCTTATCTCTCGCCCTTCTCTGCTGCCTCTCTCTCAATCTCTAAACTAGGGCTGGGGGAACTACAGTCTGTTGGTGGTTGGCAGGTGCTCTGGTATGGTTTGCTTCTTCTTTCCTATCAAACACCTATTATCTTTATCTCCCCTTTTTCTTTTTTTGTGTTTATTACTCTCTTTATCACCTCTAATCTTCGGCATTTATATGACCTTATTGTGTTGCAAACACTTACTAAAACTACTGTCTGCAGGCCAAATGCAGTCCATCCTAGGGTTTTATGCAACCCTTTAAAACATTGGATGACGTTTTTTTTGTGAAAGGAGAAAAAAATCATATTTTCATACAAGTGAGCCAAGGCTAGCGTATGAGGAGTAAATTTAATACATATTTGTTTTATATTTTAAACAATGTAATCTTTTAATGATAATGATGCAGTTTACTTTTTGTATGGTCCCTATAAAAGAAAATTAAGCTTACCTAGGGCACTCTGTCCAGATTAAAAATGTGTGGCCCTCTATTGTTTATGTTGTGGCCGTTTGCTGCTTATGGTCTAGTTTAAGTGGCCCGTGGTCTGAAATGCTTTGCCCACCAGTGCTGTAACTGTTTGCCTCTGTATGACTTTACCCAATCTTAATTCCCTGTCCTCTACCACTTTTGCTAACCTTTGCCCTTAACCAAGAATGCCTTGTGCTCTTTGGTTGGATTGAGGACCAGGCCTGGCAGTGAATGGGTTAATCCCCATTTTTTACTCCCACGTTTTTGTTTCATTCTGTTTGCCTCGCTTTTTCTCAGCATGAAATGACCATTTATCATGTTGATGTGCTTCTAGTCTGTTTACTCAAACAAACAAACAAACCCAGAGCCCACGAATAACAGGCCACCCAAAACTTCACACTTTCATTACCCATTTCTACCCAGTATGGCTCCGACAAAATGAAACAAACATGTCAATGGCAGTTCTCAATATATCATGCAAACAATGTTACTATTCACAGATCAGCCGTCTTTTGGTGAACCAGGCGGTTCCGGTACAAGTGACTGTGGAAAGAGATTTATCCCCCCTAACGGTTCCGGATGAGGATCCATTTACCTCCCCTGTGCTCCCTTCCAAGCCATTGATCAGATCTACATCTGGTATGCTGCTATATAATTTTTAGCTTCATTTTCTTTCTCATTTGCAGAAAATAAAGTTATTGTATTTATTTATAAAAATGGATTTTCAAGATAGCTCCCATGACTTCACCCGAACTCCCTTCACCTGCCTGTCAATTGCAATAGTAATTTCAGTCTCTTGGAGTACATACAGTGCTGCAGCTTGTTAGGTACCCATTACTATCATTCACATATTCTGTCTTTACTGATTCCAGAGGACTAGTACCACTAACAACAGAGTGGGCTATGGAAAGGAGAACAAAGTAACCAATACCTTCAAGTTTAAGTCCTATACGTTGTGACTGTGGTGTAGCAGTTCAGTGCATGCTTAAAACCTGAGTTTGATTCCTGTGCGGGGGAATTTTTTTATTGAGTGACTTTAAAACATTCACATAAACCGCCCTCATACACCGCCCTCATACACCTTTTCCCCCCCTACCCCCTTTCTCCGTCTACAATCCCTCACACCTGCCCCACCCACACTCTCTACTTTTTTTTGTTTACCATCGGTTTTTCTCATCATATTTGCCCCCCCCCCCCCCCCCCCCTTCTCCCCTACCTGTCCCAATCTCCTCAGGTGAGCCCACATCACCAGGTGGCAGCCGTGCTGAAGGGAGGACCATTGTTATCCAAGACACACCCGTCAGGCTTCGACCTAAGGCCTCTCTCAAAGCACAAGGGTGAGGCTTTTTCTTGATCAGGACGTTATCTGTATTGTGAACAGGTTCCTCAACATGGACACCTATATAACACCTGCTCTTTACTCCCATATTTTTGTTTCTGTCTGTCTGTCTTGCTTTTCCCTGCACTAAATGACGGTTTATTGTGTTGATGTGCCTGAGGCAAATAATGGTGAGGAAAACTGATGGTAAACAACAACAAAATGTTGGGAGTGAGGGTGGGGGCAGGTGTGAGGGATTTTAGAAGGAGAAAGGGAGGAGTGCTGAAGGGAGGACCTAAGGTGTCTCTCAAAGCACAAAGGTGAGCTTTTTTTATCAGGATGTTATCTTTATTGTGCCTGAGACCGTGTATTAATATGTCATGGTCATTTCAAACTGAAACACATTATTTGTTCAGTCTGTGGGACATATGTTTGTTAGAACTAAAATAATACTATTCTTAGTCATTTGTAGATCTATGATTTTTCCTTACAAACATAGCTGGTCATATTGGCCTCAGCTGATAAGCCTGCCCTCAGATGACTGTTGCTAAGGTGCTAATATATCTTTGTTTCATGAAAAGTAAAGTATAATTCCCCACGTCTCTGCGTATCATGACAATCACAGCATACTGTTTCCTGTTCTTGCACAACACAGCTGCAACCCCTCTGTGACCCTCAATTTGAGCCACTATGTCAAGTAGTTCGAGGGATAGGGGAGGGGCTGTACTACCCTAAGCTGACAAAACACCTTTTTAAAATTTTTGGCGCCAAATTTTTTAATTTGCTAAATCTATATGCGGATCAGTCACCTTATTGTGTGCAAAAAATCAAAGTGTAACTGTTTCTATGTTTTTGAAAAAATTAGAATTCAAATTTTGGACAAATGCCTTTTCTTTCGTGGTTACACTTACCAAATGTCTTTTTCTTCAAAATTACTGTGAATAAAAAAAGGGGTTTTGTCTGCACATGGCAGCATACTTTACTTACTTTTAGTCTTTTTTTCTGACCTGCTGTATCACCTTTTTCCTTCCAGACACAGCCCGTCACGGCGAAGGAGCAAGTCCCCGTCTCCGTGTCCGGCCAGCAGACAGAAGAGCATTGACCTCAGCCGCTCACACTCCTTCTCCACACACAAACAAGAGCACCGCGTGTTCCGCACGGGTGACCTCATTGTTGGCGACGTCCTTGGTCAGGGATTTTTTGGAAAAGCCATCAGGGTAGGCTTCTGTCGTCAGATGCTCATCTTGGGAAACATATACATTTGATTGTTGAACTCTAAACGAGCAAGCCAAAGTTTGTCTTTCGAAACAGACACATTCTATGTTTGAAAACTGTACTAGTAAACCAAAATTTGTCTTGAAAATGAACATTTTATATAAATGTACACTGTAGTAGCAAACTGAAGCTTATATTGCAAAACAAACACATTCAGTATTTTAATATTGCACATGCAATCACATAAAGCTCCTGGACTTTGTGATAAATGCCTTAAAAATTGCTTTTCTGAGATTTGTTTTAGACAATGAGGCCACATGATTAAAAAAATCAAAACTAGTCAAAATCTCTATCAGTGTAGGTGATTGAAAGATATTCTAGTATTGTTTGTTCCTTCCTTTCATCTTTCATTTTTACCACATTATTACCCTCATTGATGAAATACAGAACCACTGCACATCGGCTATAACTCTTAACTAGCAGTAATACATAATGAGCACTCATTAAATAAATTTTCAATGAGTGTAACACAGTAAATTAACAGATTTGGATGGCTTTAAAGATGCAGAAGTTGAAAATTTACCTGTCTCCGGACAGAATGCAGAGTTGAACGGTACTTAAAATGTATTTCTGAGTCTTTCTTTGGTCAGTGACAAACAAGAAAAAGTAGGAGGTCAGAGATGGACATTAATTTTTGGGATCTGTCCTCTTGAATGACCTAAAGTGTATTTAAGATTAACATTAATGTTAAGATAATACTTTATTGTCCCAGAGGGAAATTTTTCTTGGCTGTACAGGACCGTAGAAACACATGCAGGTATACAGAGAAATTAAATCACATATTATTCTCATCAAAATTCAATATAAGAGTAAAGTGAAACTGACAATAATGAACATATCAAGAAATTAATCCTGTTGTTTGATTGGCGTGTGATGCCCAGGGGGTCCTGCCTGCCTCTTAAATAACATAAAGTGTGTTAAAAAGGATGTAAAACTTGAACATGTCTTGTTCTTTTTGCTCCTCAGGTGATGCACAGAATCACAGGGGAGCACATGGTTCTCAAAGAACTTCACAACTTTGACGAAGATGCGCAGAAAAGTTTTCTCCGAGAGGTTTGTGAAAATCGTCTTTCTTTCAGCAAATTTGTCAAAAGATCTGCCTGAAGAGACAAGAGAACATTGTTGATTCAGGCTGTAGTCACCTTTTGGGGGAGGGTTTTCATGTCAATTATTTCTCTCTCTCTCCTTTTCTCTATGTCTGTCTGTCTGTCTTTCTATCTGTCTTCTACTACTTTAGATACATGTTTCTTACTTTTTTACCAATGCTCGTAGTTGCGAGCGCTGTAAAACCTCTACTAAAACTAAAACAAAAAATATGCTAGTCTTCAGACTCTTTGTAATATATAATACAGCAACACTTCTCTCTCTCTTTTTCTCACTTGGTCTCTCTCTATATATCTCTCACTGTTGTTCTTTCTCTCTCTGTCTCTCTCTCCCTGTCTCTCTCTCTCTGGTCTCTCTCCCTCTCTCTCTCTCTCTTTCTCTCTCTCCGGTCTCTCTCTGTTTGTCTCTCTCTCTCTTTCTCCTACATGCTAGCACACATTTGTATACACACTCTGAACTACATTTGTCTTATTAGTTGTTGTCAACACCTAATATTTTCACCAATGTAACACATATTTTCTCTGTTATATAGGTGTCCATGTTGAGGAACCTGTCTCACCCTTGTGTTCTCAAATTTCTCGGAGTTCTGTATAGAGACAAGAAACTGAATCTGGTCACAGGTGAGAAAACTAGGGTCTTACGGTATGAGTAGTTTCTTTCTAGATAGCAAAAGATCTTGTCATTTTGTTAGTGTTTTAGGCAGCTTGCACTGTATGATTCCCAGAAAGTTGAGATTGTTTCAGAATGCTATCAGGTCTGCCGGGGTAATAATATAGATTGTAAAGCTCATAGAGCTTGCTGTTGAGTGGGAATTAGTGCTACACAAATGCTATCTATTAGGTGTTGCTTTTGCCTTTATATAACGTGAGGGGTACACAAAATGCCTAAGAAGAATTGATAGAATAAATTGGCAACACAAGATTACAACACTGTGGTACTGGGAAGATAAGGAGTTCCTACCAAACTGTCACTGCTGTGCAACGCAAACTCTATGACACTTTTGCCTCATAGAAAATAGGAGAATACCATAAGATCTTCACTATGGAAACCCAAAGAATCAACCTTCTCAAAAAGCAAAGATGCTTGCAAGAGGACCTTACTTCGACAGGGATCAATGTTTGGAATTTAAAATAGGCTGTTGAATATTTTCACCAATCGAAGGGGAAAATCAAGACCAGTCTCAAGGTATAGGAAAAAAGACAGCAGGAGAGGCATAATGCAGCAGCTGAAGGGGCACAAAGTGACTGAGGCAGACAGCAACAGTGCAGCATGGCGCATACTCATGCATGATAGGGTTTGTTTATTGTGAATCATAATGTGGCTTCATATGTTCGTTATTATTATTTTGTGGAATTTTTTTTGTCCTATCTTTGAAAGAAAGCAAAGATTTTCCAACAAGAATCAATAGAATTGTCTTTTCCCCCCTTCCTTTCTTTCTTTGGCCATTGTGCGTGCCTATGTGTATCTATTTACAAGAGGCTCTTTTTTCAATGTGCTTTGCTTATTCACAGAGTTTATTGATGGAGGGACGTTGTCAGACATTTTGTTAGACACATCTCGAGAACTGTCCTGGATGCAGAGGGTCTCGTTTGCCAAAGACATTGCCACAGGCATGGTAAGGCTTGATGCTTGTTTACATAAAATATAATGATAACTTATATATGTGTCAGATGACCAAATAACAGAAATATGCTTCTGGATTATTATCTTAATGATAGTTATAAAAAATTATTGTCTGTTTCTATAATGTGCTTGTAATGATAATAATAAAAAGCCTACTGGTTGGTTAATATTAAAAGTGATAATTTGCATTTATGTAGCGTATATATGCCTACACAAAATAAAGCTCTCTGATTTTTAGAATAGTTTTAGTAGAAGTTTTACGGCGCTTGCAACTGCATAAGGTCATATGAGCGCCAGAAGATTAGAGCTGTTACAAGAGAGTAACAAACATAAAAAAGAAGAAGGGGAAATAAGGACGATAGATGTTTGACAGGAAAGAAGAAGCAAACCACACCAGAGCACCCGCCAACTACCCACAAAGCTCTCTGAACGTTACAATCAATTTAGGATGGTAGCGGCACGTTCACCTATGGGTTGCTTACCACACAGGAAAATATTTCACAGCTTTCTGCTGTTGTAAATGCTACTAGTAGATATTTTGTAAGAAACTTTAAATGTCAAATGTAGACATATGATAAAAAGTGTTAAATTTCAGGTGTACCCACGTCATAAGAAGTTTCAAATGCCAAACATAAACATTGAGTAAGAAGTCTTAAACTTATGTGTTACCAGTAAACTTTGAGAAATAAGTTTTAAATTCACCGACATTGAGTAAAAAGTGTTAAATGTCACCCGTAGACTTTGAGTTTTAAATGCCAGATGTAGACACTGAGTAAGAAGTCTTAAAAAATGTCACATAGAGACACGTAGTAAGAAGAAAATTCTCCTTTTGCCTTTCAGAATTACTTGCACTCCATGGATATCATCCACCGAGATCTCAACTCTCAGAACTGCTTTGTCAGGAAGGTAAGTGACTTCAATAGTACCTGTAGTGTATTTTTAAGCTGCTTTTTTTCTTACAAGGCAAAAGACAACAAGAGTTTGGTTCCCCTTAATGGAAGATATTTTAATATCTCTGTCTTTCTGTCAGGAATTCAGTGGCCTGTAATTCTGTGGAAAATATGTTCTTTCTGTCTAATAGAAATACAGTATCATAATATTCTACCTTGGCTGGCCTTGACATGCAGGCTCAAAGCAGCCTACCTGTCTTGATTTGTCTTTTCATATTAAGTTAATATGAAGACTAAAATAGTTACAACTCGTTCTGTCTTTTCATATCAGGTTAATATGAAGATGTAAAAAGTTACAACATGTTTTGCCTCATTGCATTATATATCATATAACCATAAAAACAACCCCCCCCCCCCGCCGGCCATCCCAAGTTATGACATATTATTTTATCTTACATACATCTGTTAGGATCAGACAGTAGTGGTGGCAGACTTTGGGCTGGCCAAGATCGTTCCTCGACACGGACCTCTGGTGTCTCCCACCAAGTCCTCAAAGGGCGACCAGGAGTCGACGGGGCTGGCAGGAAGTGGCAGGAAGAAGCGTTTCTCTCGACGCAAGCGCCAGACGGTGGTGGGAAACCCATACTGGATGGCTCCCGAGATGATGACCAAAGGCGTGTACGACGAGAAGGTGGACGTCTTTTCCTATGGTATCATCGTCTGTGAGGTGAGGGTTCTGTCTTGTTTCGCTTCATTTTCTGCTCATTGTGATAACAATCTAGGTTTTGTTGTTGTTATTATTGATGCAGTCATTGTGACAACAGTCCGGATTTGTTGTTGTTGTTGTTCTTGATCCTGTCATTGTGACAACGATTCGGTTTTATTGTTGTTGTTGTTGTTGTTGTTGTTGCTTTTGTTGTTGTTGCTTTTGTTGTTATCGATCCAGTCATTGTTACAACAGAGTTGTATGTAATTCAATTTCTTTTTTTTAAATTCTCATTTATTATTTGTAGGGGTGCCCTACTGGGCCGAATGTTCATTATTATGAAGTTGAAGCATTTTATTTCTGGTCAGATTACAGGTCCAAGCAGAAAAAGTATTTAGAAAAGATGAGGAAAAATTTGGAGCCCCATAAAGTTCTAACCCCTGACATTTTGGTCAAGTTCGTGAGCTTGTGTTTTGATTGTCAGTGGGTTACAAAATTTTCTTTAAAATTAATTTCCATTGGTTGATATAGGTGAAGAAACTAGTGCTAGATGGCACACCTATGAAATGTACAGTAATTTATTCCCTTTTCCACCTCTTGCAGACAATTGCAAGAGTGACAGCAGACCCGGACTACCTACCCCGCTCCATTGACTTCGGCCTCAATGTGGAGAGCTTCCACAAACGTTTCTGTGACGGCAGCCCGGAGCCCTATGTGATGTTGGCTGTTCTTTGTGCCCACATCGAGCCGGACCAGAGGTATTGTACTGTAGGGTGGTGGGGTGAGGGATGGGGCATGGATTGGGATGGGGACTTATGTTGTGCAGAATGGTACCTTACAACCAATTTCAGATGATTTGGTTTTTCGGAGAGAAATTTATCTTTCCGAGCTATATGCTACACTAGTGAATATTCTTATTTTCCTGCCATTGGTAGTCCCCATGGTTGTTTCTGTCTGTCTTTTTTGGTTTTTCCCAGCACTAAATGACGATTATTATGCCTTAAAATGACAGGGTTCTAACTTCATGAGACATAGTTTTAAGAAAATGGGATACAAAGATTTACACTCTTATGGCTAATACGTTTTTACACCTTGTTTGGTAAGTGTCAAAATAAAAAACATACTGGTTAGATTGTCTCAAGCCTTTGAAACAGTGGGCGGGGCATCTGTTTCAGTAAGATGTAGTGTGTAACTCAGTTCTCGTAAATACTGAAGTTAAAATCATTTGCCATTCTGAGGGCAAGATGTAGACACACTTCTCTTATCTCAAACATAAATATTCTTATCATGTCTTCTCTTAATTTAGTATAATCTCTGTAGGCTTAACTGATTTCCCCTTTGTTGGTGTCCTCAGGCCAAGCTTTGAGAAGGTTCTGGTGATGTGCGAGGCTCTGCTCCTTCACGTGGAGCATGGCATGGCCGTGCCGCAGGAGCTGCAGGGCAGCACGGTGGAACTCTATCGACGCCTCAAGGAGCGCTTGTACGGCCGAGACTATCTCGACGGGGACAGTGTCACAGAGACCAACACTGCCGACAATAAGGAGGTTTCATTGCAACAAGAAAGCAACACTGCCAACAATAAAGAGGCGTCATCGCAACAAGAAAGCAACACCGCGTCGTCAGGAAAGGGGTCATGTACAACGAGCGAACAGAAAATGTCATCACAGCAAGAAATGAACACAAAGGACAGCCAAGAGCCACCACAAGATGAGAAGGCGGAGGGGCCTTCTACACGTAATAAAACTAAGCCAGAAGATAGTGCAAAAGAAAACAGCTCTAGCGATCTAAAGCAGACTGAGAGTTCTGAGATCGTACCATCTGTTGATGAGAAAGATGGGTGTGACGGTAAGAAAGACATGTGTGATGAGAGGCCCAAAAGTGAAGCCTCAGAGGAGACAGCAAAACCGTCAAGCAATCAGGGAGGCAGTGCAGTGTGTATGGCATCCGGTGTTGATGCAGAGAGATCAAAGCGGGATATTTGTATGCTAGTGACCTCAAACGTCATGGGAGAGGAGACTGAGAGAGGTAATGGAAGTGGTGAGTTTTGTGTTGAGGAGAAAGAGGCTGTAAGTCTCAAAGACTCTGGTGTGTTTTCATCGTCACTTTCATCTTCTCGAAAACCTTCTACAGAGGGAGGACGGAAAACGGATGTGAGAAAGGATGAACAGGAGAGGGAAGATACAGACATGTCCCAGTTGGTTGAAAAGAGTTGTTCCCCTGCGCTTGATGATACACCAGTCAGTATGACTATGTCTGCTGGTGGCATGATGTCCTTGACCTCTCCCCAAAGTGCACAGAGTATCATCCGTGATGACTTCAGCAGTGTAGAATCCAGTCCAACCCTTTTCCTCCCTCATTCTCCTCCGCAAGCCATATGGGAGCCGGCTACTGTCAGTCCTTGCACTGGGGATGTGTCAAGACACAAGGAAAAGGACCATAGCTCTCACCACCCATTGAAACTTGTTCTGGGAGATGACTCCAACAACAACAACATCACAACAACAACAGCAACAACAACATCGACAACAGGCTTGGAAGACTGCGCCTACTTCTCATGTTCCTCCTCCTCTCCCTCCCTCTCTCCATCCTTCTCGTCCTTTTCTCCGGAGGATTTCGCTACCTGTACTAGTTGGCCCGGTCCAAGCTTAATGAAGTGCTTGGATGACAGTCAGGTGCCGTCTGTTCACAGTGTGTCTCTTCAGGAAGTTTCAGCCACTGGCTTGTCTGAGTCGCCTGCCAACAGAACGTATGATTCATGTATATCAGCATGTAGCACTTCTACGTCACAGTCTGGTGGAGCAGACCTTTCTCCAAGTGTCGCGTTGTCCTCTCTGTCGTTCCCCTCAACATCTCGTTTTGTCTCGGAAGCCATACACCCAACAACTTGCTCAAGCGATGACAATAAACCAACTGAACTTTCTCGTGCTGTAGGGTGTAAAATGGCTCCTTTGGGTAACCAAGATAACCAGGGCTCTGCTGCCACGACAGCTGCACCAGCTACCACCACGTCGTCTGTGCTCATTCTGTATGGTGCTGAGACGAATGAGTCGAACACTGACTGTTGTGATGGCGTCAGAGATTCGACCACCGACTCTACAGCTGCCTCCCAGTCAGCAGATAACAAAACTCGCCATATTTTCTCAGACAATTCACTCTCCAACACAGAAAAGGCAGAAAATAGTGAGAGTGTTTCTTCTACAATCGCTGACAACCTCAGACTTAAGATAAAAGAATACAAAAATGGTTCCTCGTCAGCTGTTACGTCACCGGGCAACAGTGAAAACTCTGATGATTCTAAGTCACAAAATTTTCTCCAAAATGAGGTACCCAGTTGTCTCCTTAGTCCTAACCTGGGATTATCTTCATCACGGAGGAGGTTAAAAAAGTCGTTGAAAAGCTTGCCAGCACGGGACCATTCCCCCTTCCCATTATAATTGCCTATGTTTATGTTGACAAAGTTTTGTGTTAAGGTCAGAAGGGATCAAGTCTTGGTGTGTACATATTCCTAAGGTAGTTGGCTAGAGCTATTTCATAACTAGTTGGTTTGGCTTGAGTGGGCAAAAGGTGCCATTGCAAAGTTTTGTTCACCCAGTTTAGCACAAGCATTCTGTTTTCAGCACTCCTGGGGATTTCCAACTATACTGAGTGGGATTTTGCCAGTTTGCATTTTTAGAAGATAATCAGATACTGCACTTAAACAGAAGAGAAGATGGGAGAGAGTGAAAGAGAGAGAAAGATAGGGAGATGGAGAGAGTGAAAGAGAGAGAAAGATAGGGAGAGGAAGAGAGAGAGAGAGAGAGAGAGAGAGAAAGAGAGAGAGAGAGAGATTTGGGTCTTTGCGTAAACAGGCTAGGAAGCAAGTTCGAGTTTTGTCAATGTCATAGATACATTGTAAGCATTGTAAGTTTTGTGTCGTAAATGTTAACTGTAAAAAGTTAGTTTTTTTTTCAGTTCTGGTACAGGGAGATTGAGTCAGTTTGTAAACACTTTGTAATGTTTTTATTTCTGTAATACTTTAATTTCCTCTGTAATGGGCAATGGTTGTTTTTTCCTGTGCTTTTGGTGTGTTTTGTTGAAATCTCACATAAAGCTAGACACAGTGAAGGCAATTTTAAAGACTAAGCACACCTTCCAATGTTGGACATGGACCTTATAAGAAAACAGTTTTTCTGAATGGCCAAGAAAAGTTCTGACCCCACTCAAATTAGTACAAGAGATTTCCTTGTGTTTTACAAGTTTACAAACTACTGAGCGAATATGCCCATTTTCCAGTGTCATGTTATGAAGACAATGTGTAACAGTTCTCACAATTTCTCTTAACTCTTTGAACCCCCCGGGGCAGTGCTACTGACTGTAGTGTCTTTAGACCATTCCCAAAGGGCGGACATTTCTCGTTCATGCACAGTAGAATTGTAAATGGGCTGATTCATGTCACACTCATAACTGTGCCTCATCTACAACAGGGAACTGCTGCTTTTTCTTTCTTGAGCCTTACTATTGTCATACCTCTACTTTTTTTGTATGTTTGTCACTCTCTTGTGACCTACTATTTTGGGGTGCCTTGATAGTCGAAGCAGACCCTGTGCTGTTGAAGCTAGAGAGGTGAGCAGTCTAAGTCTGATTCCCTGTGAAGACTTCTCTGTTGACACCCACCCCTTGGCGCTCATATGACCTTATGCAGTTGCGAGCGCTGTAAAACCCTCTACTAAAAAAAATAAACAAACTCTTTGAGCTCTGGTCGCTTTACTCACCCTTACAGTACAGGACCCGTACACCTGAACACCCTCAGGTCATCTGCTAAATTTACACTACCACTGGCTGAAGCATGGCTTTGTATGCAAAAGAGTGAAGGTCAAGCCTGATTAGGTCTGTAGAGTTAAGTTTTCTACAAAATTTATTCTTATTGAACTGCATGTAGTTTTATTCTTTTCTTTTGGATGAACGCTTAGTCAAGTCTTGGTGACACAGTTGGTTGTGAGCTTGGCCAACTCTCGAAACTCAACAAAATGTATCTGTTTGAATGTTGGATAGTTGGAGGACACCTCTGAAAGGGCCTACTTCCTTTCTATTCTTCTGTTGTTTCTTCCTATTGTGCTTTATTACTCCTGTCTTAAATGAACATGACTGTGTCAATGAGCTTCTCTGTTCTCACACTCGGTAGATTAAATGTTTGAATGGGAATAAGCTTCAAATTTTTCTAATTTTTTGCCAGGTATCTCCTCTTATCACAATTTCCATTGCTACCCGGATTCGAACCCGAGACCTTTGAATGAGAAGCTAACACCTTAACCTCTAGGCCAAGAGAGCCCCCACTCTATGTCGTACATGTAATCAAATATGCATTTGACTTTTGGACTCTACTGGGATTATTTTATCCTTGTTTATGTTTCCCAATTTCTTTTCCCAACAGCATTTTGTAAATTATGTTTGTTTCAACATGCTTTTGCCACTGATCAATTTGCCATTTTATAGAACCTCAGAGCTGATCTCTTCACACATGTGCCAGGAATCACTAGAGCTAAAATACAGCAACACGCTTCATGAATGCTGGATGTTGAGTGCACCTTCAGTCAGTAATGAAATGATACAACACGAAGATTATGAGATATGTGTATGATATGTAACAAAAATTGATAGATTATGAGATGTGTATAGTATATGATATCCTGTTAAAACCACTTGACAAAAACATGAGAGAATGTGGATCTGTAAAAACATGGTAGATTATGAAATATGTTTATAATGTCGGTCTTTGAATCACTTCACAAAAACATGACAGATTATGAGATGTGTTATGTATGTGATGTCACCATTGAAGTCACTTGATAAAATTGTGAAAGATTATGAGATATGTACATGACATCATTGTTGAAATCACTTGACAAATACATATAGACAATGAGATATATTGAGCAAATGATATGACCTCGGAAATTACATGACAAACATGCTATAGATGTTAAAGCAAATCAGATGACAAGTGTATGTTTTCAGAATTTTACATTGTGTTCTCATTTCCTCATTGTATTAAACCACAGCGACCGACTCATCATGGTGCTTGTCAGAGATTGAAATGCTACTTGCTATGTCTGTTAAGACTTTGGAGTGCCATTGGTGGAGATGGTCTGGCTTTTTACACTATTTCCAGTATACTCACAAAAACACTCACACACACACTCACACACAAACAAACGCACATTTGCCTTCATGTGTATGCAAACTTTGGACCACAGGTACAACACTTGCACATACACACACACATAATAAACTTTTTCAGGAGTGTAATGTTGATTTGGATCAAAGTATAAGATCAAATTAGGAATTATTGAAGGATGAAAAGCATTGTGAATCTAAGATGTACGTTTATTTTTTGGAGTTGCCAAATCCTTAAGTGGTGTCGGTAGCCTAGTAGTTAGGCTACCGGACCTGTAATTGTGAGATTGCGGGTTTGGGGATTCGAGCCTCGGCTCGGTCCGACGTTGTGTCCTTGGGAAAGGCACATAACATGAATTTTCCATTTGCCTCGGTCCTTTGGAGATGGACGTTAAACTCAGAGGTACTGCCTCTTAAATAACCTAATAGTGTTGATAAAGGCATTAAACCTATACCATTTCATCATTTCACCAACCCCTTTTGTGTTGAACCTGTTGAGTTGATGAAACTTTTATTCACTTCTTTAGCGCCATATTGACATATGGATTTGCATAATTTTCTACATCTTGTGATACCGAGAAATGCAAATACTTGTTGTGTGGTAAGGGTTACGTAACAAAGATCGTTTAGTTTGTCATGTTAATATTGAACGCCACACTAGACATAACACAATGTAAGTCCTAACAAAGGAGGTGCACATAGTCCCCCATCACACACACACACACACACACACACACACACACACACACACATAAGTGTACACACACCCAAACACACTCTCTCTCACACACACACACACACACACACATACACACAGACCCAGAGACAACACACATGCATTAGAGTTATCTTCATCATATGCTACACATACAGTCCTACACAAGCACAAATGTTGTGGATTTTCACATATTGTCCTGAAACTTGCATTTTGACCTTTACATATCCCCTTGTACACACTAGACATGTTGTTTCAATATTACTTCTGTAGTATTTATGAAAAAAGGATTAGTGTCAATTGTTATTATGTTGCCTTTTGTCTGAAAATAGTAACTAAGAAAGACGGTAAATTAAATTTTGATGAAACTTTTAATTTTAAAGTTGGTGGAATTTTCTTTCTGAATACTTTTTAACTGCATTAGTAGTAACCCACAAACTTTTGATACGTACAAATGGAGAACTGACTTCTACTTCCACTTCTTTTTCAAGTTGCAGATCTGAAACAGTTAACGGTGATCTTTGCTCACCAGTTGACTAGTGCTACTAATTATCTTACTGGCGTGCTGTTCTTTTTGTCTCACAAATGTTTCAAGGCATCCCCCGCGGCAGTGCTACTGACTGCAGTGTCTTTAGGCCATTCCCAAAGTGGGAACTTTAACCATGTTCTTATGCACAATAGAATTGTAAATTGTGAATTGGCTGATTCATCAATGTCATGCTCATAACTGTGCCTGAACTGCAATAGGGAACTGCTGCTTTTTCTTTCCTAATCCTTACCATCGTCATTTTTCCTCTACTTCCTTTAAGTATGTTTGTCACACTCTTGTGACCCACTATTTCCGGGGTGCCTTGATAGCAGACTTTGTGCTGTTGAAGCTAGAGACGTGAGCAGAGTAAGCCTGATTCCCTGTAAGGACTTCTCTGTTGACATCCACCCCTTGGCGCTGATATGACCTTACACAGTTGCGAGCACCGTAAAACCTCTACTAAACAAACAAAATGAAATGTTACGAGGAGTTAACATTTTTGAGGATGCATCTGTCTCCTGTGATGTTTTTTGTTCATCTTTTTTGGTGTGATTATCTCAAAACGTGTGCCTTGTTATGGATGTATGAACTCAAAAGTCAAATGTTATGACTCTAGGATGTGATTGCAATTGACATACTTATGATGTTAAAAAAAAGTGTGCCCAAATTGAAGGGGGAAAAAAGATGTTCAATTTGAAAAGTTTTTGTTTTGTTTTGCCAGACTAATGCTAGTTTCTTTATTGCATCACTATTTTCACAAAGGGCTCTTTTTTTCTTTCTCTGAGATAAGATTACTACGGGATTTATCAGCTGTGTTGATTTATCAGCAGTTCTCAGAAAAATTGTGGAAATTATGGAATGAAACTGACAAATTATTAGAGTTATTTAAGCCAAAATTTTATAAGAGTTTTTTGGCTTTGTGGAACTTTTAGAAAGATATGATGCCTGAGTGTGGCCTTTACTTAAATAGCCTATAAAATGGTACATGAATGGTGCTACTTTTAAAAAACTAACTTTGCATTATATTTATGGTAATGTAGGGTCCTTTCCTGCTATACTAGCATTATACTGTCCTCAGAGGTGCCCATAACTGTGATTTTTTTAAAGATCTAAATTTTTTCCTTTTTTTCAGTCTCATCAAATTTGTCCAAAACGACTGCTCATTGTCGAGGAGAAATGTGGTCTTCTTAAAGAAGTGGTCCTCTAGGACAGTTTTATTTTATGACAACATAGAAAAAAAGAATGTAAGTTAGGAAGTAGGAAGTGCTGTTTAGCACAGGTAGTTGTCTTGAATAGGTAAGAGCAGGTTCAATCGTATTTAGTTTTCCTCAAGCAACCAGCTCCAGTAGACTTGTTT